AAAATATTTATCTTTTTAAATGACACAACTTATATCATTTCACTCTCACAAAAGATATGAGACCCACACATTTATTTTTTTGTCAACTCTTTTTTCTCTTTTATCTATCTCTTTATCTCTCTCATAATTTTACATTTTTTAAATTGACACACACTTTACTCTTTTTTTTTTTTTTATAACAACACTTTACCTTTTTTTTATATGCATATCATATTAATTTGTTTTAAGAGGACATTGTCGCGAATCGGCTACAGCATGGGGCCACTTTGCAGATGAACACTGTAGAAGATTACCACTGGTTCATCCTCGTCTTCTTATTGCACCATTCTTTTTTGTTACTATTTCATCTTAAAAAAATAAAATAAAAATAATAATAATAATTGACACAGATATCAAAGTGATGGACATAGTTATAGGAGAAAAACTTCGCAAAAGGAAAAGTTTTTTTTTTTTTTTTTTCATTTTACATTACTCCTTTCAGTGTCTCTGATTTGTTGGACTGCATGCAAAACTGCATTGCTACTTGACAATGCCATCATGCACGCGCATGCGTGATAAGTACATTTCTGTTCAATGTACTACATCCTTAATTATATTGAAAAAAATCTTGGTTTACAAATTGAAGAGAATAAATTAAATAAAAAACATATATTTGAAATAAAAACTTAAAAATAATTTATTTATGTAATATTATTAATTAAGAATTAATAATTACATATGGCAATATTCACTTATTATAAGTAACTAAGTAAGATTGAAAAATAAATATCATTGATTAAGTATATATAGTCAATATTACGATTTACAAAATAATTTACTATATACAATTTAATTTAATAAGTGAAAAAAAGGTTATTCAAAAACTATGGGTTAGACATGTGAGTTACATGCGCAAGATTTTTCTCTCTGTTAGGGCAAAGAGATGGTTTTGTCGAAAGAAATGCAAGAAGAAACACCAGAGACAGATACTGTTTCGCAGGTAATCATGAGGAAAAACATCAAGAGATCCAAAAATGGGGAGGAATTCTCCCCGGATTCGTCAAATAGAGGAGTTAGCTTGGGTGATATCCAGGATCGTATACCTTCTGGGAAGACAAAGACGTTCGCGGAAGCTCTCAGAGCTAAAGGTAACATGATGGGGGTCGATGACACCTGGCAGGAAGATTCCATGGATGAACCGAGAGAGCCGCTTGACCCTAAACTAGGAGCCATTAACGAGTTGGGTTTCCAAACTATCTTCGGGGAAGACGACTCTGTCAGAATAAGTTGCACAAAAGAAGCTAAGCAGAGGTTGAGAAGCCCGTGGAAGAACGCTATCATAGCGAAGCTCTTGGGCAAGAAAGTGGGCGTCATGTATATGAAGTTCAAGCTCGAAAGATTATGGTCGAAGCATAGTGCCATTGTGGTTGCAGACCTGGGAAATGACTTTTTCTCGATCAAGTTCTCAAGTGTAGAGTATCTGAATCTGGCTTTAACAGGAGGTCCATAGGTCTTAATGGGTCATTACTTTGCCATAAGGAGATGGGAGTTGTTTTTCAACCCTCACAAAGCAAATATCCATAAAGTTGCTGCATGGATTCGACTACCAGGTATTCCACAATAATTTTGTGTGTTATCTGTGTTGAAGCTGATAGGAAACACTGTAGGAAAAGTCTTAAAGGTAGATAAAACAACCTCTTCGGGCGATAGGGGAAATTTGCTAGGATCTGTGTTGAACTATATTCATCCAAGCCTTTGAGGGGAGAATATATCTTAGAGGAAGAAGTCTTCAAGGTGGAGTATGGAGGATTGTATTTGATTTGCTTACATTGTGGTAAATATGGCCATAATTCAGAGAAATGCCCTGATGTTATGAAACCGATTGAGGTTAGCAATAATGAGGAACCCTTGACATATGCTACCAGTTCTGCGTGTAGCCAGGGTGTGGGCCCCTGGATGGTGCTGCAGAAGAAAAAGTTTATAAAACAACAATCTTTACCGAAGTATGAAGGGGCTGAAGGGAGAACTTTTTGAGAGGATATCTCCAACAAGAAGAATCTTAGCCAGAAAAATAAATCGACAGTGACCAATTTGGGTCAAGACACTTTGAAAAACAAGCCTATCAAAAGCCAGTCAGGTCACGGGTCAGGAAAGTCTAAGGAAAACAAAGTTGGATCCACCTCCCAGCCTATCTCTCCGGTTTCAGCAAAAAAAGCTGGTGCAAGTAAAAAAAAGCCTCCTGTCAAGGCCACTTACACCCAAGATGAAAGAGAAGAACAATATGTTTGTGTTTGCCTCTGATCCCCTAGTAGCAGTTAAAAGCTCTCACTTATCAGAGCTCCCTTCATCCAGCTCTGTCAAAAGTAAGATTGATCAGAATCAGGTTCTTAAACCCCTACCTGATCCGGTTTGCTGCACTGATATTCAGAACTCCTCTAATGAGGTAGAGAAGGAATTATGTACCAAAATTTCTATAACCAAGATCAGTGGCAACGTTGGTCCTCTCCCCAAATGTGAGTTATGTGTGGTGGAGAATGAGAACTCGGATATGGAAATTGGCAAGCCCAGCAGTACAGAACAACTTCTAGATGCTGATCCTCCGGATAGAGCTATTCTGGATGGTATGGCAGTGGAGAGTATTTCAGGTAATGTTGCTTCGGAATATTTGTTGGAGAGTGACCAGGTGCTCTATAATCTTGGATCAGATATGGTTATCCAATGAATTGTCTCGTGTGGAATTGTAGGGGTGCTGCTAAGAAAGCTTTCAAAACATCCCTTAGTAATTTCATCCTGAAGCACAAGATTACTTTGGTTGCCATCTTGGAACCTAGAATTAGTGGTGCTTTAGCTCTAAAAGAAATAAAGAGTAAATACCTCTTTTCGTCCCTGGCAATTTTCACGAGGCACATTTTAGTCCCGAACAATAAAAAAGGCTCATTTTAGTCCCTAATATTTGAAAAAAGGGCCACGTTTGTCCTTCCGTTAGTTGGCATCTAACAGCCCAACTAACGAGCACACGTGACCGTTACTTTGCTGAGTCACCGTTAAGTATGCCAGCGTAGAAGTAATACGACGTTGTTTTATGTCTTCTTGGAGTTTTGGACAGCTGACCTTAGCATCGAAGGCCCTATTTGGTCCTCAACACTAAAAAAATGGACATGAACATAGAAGTTGCAATCATATTACAGCAAACCACAAACCTTTCAAACCCAATTCGGTACAACTTTGATTAGATTTGAGTTTTAAAAACTAATTTATTTTGAATGGTAGTGGGCTATAAATTAGTTAACTCAATTTAATATTAACATTTTAAAATTTTAATTTTTCTAAAAATTACAAAATATAATATTACTCAACTCAACTTAAATTAATATTTTATATATAATATGACAATATTTCTATATTAATATAACTATTTAAAATATTATATAATATAATTTTTAAAATTTATTACTTATTCATATAAATTATTTATATCAGTAAATTTTTGTTTAAGCCTTTATAAAAGGATGAATACCGAACTCAGAAAAAATTAAACATGGGCGAGAAAACCGAGAAAGAAGAAAGATTCTGATGAATGCTTGGATTTCCGGGCTTTGAAAAAAAATTTATCCGAAAATTTTGTTTTTTAAAAATATAAATTTTACATTTAGTTTATAATAATATTCAAAAGCAGTGTTTTAAATCTTGGCTCGGACCGGCCGGGTCGACCCGGGACTCGGTGACCTGGTGGGTTACCCGGTCCGAGCGGGTAGTTAGACCTGTTATGAAGTCAGTCCGGATTGGACCGGTTGATCCGATCGAAACCCGACGACCCGATTGAGTTGGGTTAAATTGATTTTTCTTTCTTTTTTTGATAATTTTTTTTTTGTTGATAAGAACTCTTGAATTAAATCATATTCATATTTTATGATGAATATGATTAAAAGTAAGGTGAAAAATAAGGTATTTTAGATTAGTGTAGTTCATTTATGTAATTTAGTTGCAACTTATAATGATCTCATGAAGTTAAGTGGTGATAAACACTGATGGTCTCATGATCTCATCTCAAAGGTCTAGAGCTAGAAGCTTAGAAGTATACAATATTTGCTATCATTGAAAACCAATTTATTTTTTGAAGCTCATAGATAGTTTTCTTATGTAATTTTTATTAATATAAGTAATATTTTTATATTTTTAATATGTGAACAGTAAAATCCGTTGAACCCGGTTAAATCAGTGACCCAGTACCTCGACCGGTTCGATAACCGATCTGAGTTTTAAAACACTGTTCAAAAGTTTAAAATTTAGAAAAACTTAAATTTTTCAGAAATTCTAAAAAAAATCATGTACCAAACGGTCGAGAACATAATAGTATGATATTCCTTAACTGTAGACAAGTTTTACTCTTCTTTATTGCACCAAGTTAGTAGGAGGCGCAATCTCCTCTATTCTCTTGGGATTTTCTTTACATATTTCAGGGTATCTGTTTTTGAATGAATATTCTTTGTTACTACTTTTAATATTAGATTTTGTGATCCTTCGTATGAATATTGGATTTTTTTTGGCGAATCAGATTAATCATAAAACGATGGAAATATCTTAAAAAAAATAAAATTCTCATAATCTCAATACATGGGAATCAAAATAATCTCGTAAGATCAACATATAGGATTTGCTAAAATCCTGTATCGTTGACGTGCATAAATTATTCTGTACAATTAACGTGCAAAATTGATCGCATTAGTTTAATATTTTTTTAAAAAAATTATTTTTATAAAAAAAAAACACATATGGCCCCACTTTCTGTCTTTCACACTCTTTTGGCTAACAAAGTGTACACAGTACAATTACTATGTAGCCATCAATCAATAATTTCTTTCCATTCATTCAAAAACTAAAAAAGAAAAGAAAATAAAAAAAAGCAAAAGCTAATAATAACTATCTCCAATGACACTTTTTCCTTAGTCAGTCAAAAGACAGGGAGAAGAGAAAAGAAAAGCATTGCTCCATCTTCTACTCTTCTCTCACCATTGTACTTCATTGAGAGACTATGAGTGTGTTCTGTGGAGTGAAATAAAAATAAAACTGAAGAAGCTCTGAGTTGAGCTCTGGAAGGAGACAATACAGAGAACTAGAGGGGAAATAAAGTGGTACCCATTGTTTTTCTTCTTCTTCATTGGTCTTTGTCCCTTCCTCTTGTTATTCTTCGTTTGTTTTTCCGTTCTTATTATTCTTTTGGGTGCCTAGATCTCTTTTTGTTTCACCATTTTTTTTTTTTTTGTTTCAGATTCTTTATGTTTTTCCTCTTTGTTTTGTTTTTTCTTAAAAGTGTTTTAAGTGATAGTTTTGCAATGGAAATAGAAGAGAATGTAGGAAATTTTTGCATTTTGACACATCTCTACCTTGCTGGTTCTTGTTGCCTCTTTTTTGGTTTTTCCCCCTTCCTTCTTTCTTTTTCTTTTCCTATATGTTCTGTGTATTTCTTATTACCTCGGAAATTGAGGGTTTTTGCTCAAAGGCTTTGTATTTTGAGGTTATCTAATTGATGGGTCGATGAGGCTTTGACTGATTATATCTGCTATCAGGCATCTTCAAGCTAAATTACATTCCACTATTTCATTATTTTTGCTTTGATTAACTGTGATCTCTCTTTTTCAAGTCAATTTTCCAAAATTGAATAATTTAAGCTCCTATGTATCCAGAGCTTGGGAAATTAATTTTACACAAGGCCTTGTGGTGGATGATGTCTATGGTTTCTGATGCACGAGGCTTCAAGCTTCTAATTGAGTTTTCTAAATTTGTCGTTCCTATATTGATATGATTTATAATGGTGCTTATGCTTTCAACAACCCACACTACTTAGAAAAGTATGACTGCTTGATTCTCTCATTCCATATTCTTCTTCTGTTAGATAGTTCCCAGCTTATTCCACTTAAATTTGTTTGAAATAGACCCTGTTATTTAATGATAATTGATTATTTATTAAAAGCGAACTTAACTCAAGCTAAGTGAAGCTCCTATTAATTAGCCCTTTGCTCTTTTTGCAGGGTTTTCTTAACTAGCAGTCTTTATTTGATGATATGTGATATTGGAACATGGAGAGGGTTGCAGAGCCAAAGGCACTTCCTAGGACCTTGCCTGTTCTTGTTGAGGTATCTAATGCACACACAACTGCAATAAGAGAAGCTGGTCAAAGACTAACTGTGCAGGATGTTTCAAGTGTGCGTGGGATGTCAGCAAGAGAAGTGAATCAGTTTTTGAAAGCACGGGATGGCCCTATGACACGTCTGGCCTCCATAAGGGAAGTGGCTCAGTTATCAAATGCGCGAATAGATTTGGTTAGAGAAGATATGGGATTCGATACCGGATCCTCTCAAGAGCCTGTCTCTCCCGCACCTACAAGAACATGGAAAGGAAAGGCCTCTTTGCCAGAACAAGAAGAACTTATGCCTGATATTGAGACATTGAAGGGCGGCAATGATTTTTCTGGAGAAACTAGTCCAAGTTCATTTGCTGGTGCTAGTCATCCCCCCGAACCTGTTGATACTGATCTTATGAGAATGGTTTATGTTCCCATAGGTCAAAACAAATCTGAGGCTGAATGCTTAATGAAGAGCATGTCCCTGAAGGGTCCTTTCTTGGAAGATCTTTCAATTCGTGTTCCCACCAAGAAACCAAGCCTAGCTGTTGTTTCTCCTGCAGAAAGTCTGGTTGAAGAATCAAATGACATGGGGAGCTTACCCTCACCATTTTCAAGTGCTCGCGTATCTCAAAATACTGAGAACTCTCTCCTTTCCCCAGATTCTGAGGAGAAAGAATGTGTTTGGGATGCTTCCTTTCCTCCAAGTGGCAATGTCAGTCCACATAGTAGTATTGATAGTATTGGTGTTGTCAGAGCAATGAGCATTGTTTCTAGTGTTGCAAGTACATATCGGAGTGATGCAATCACTAGTGATGGCATGCTTAGTTTAGACTGGAATTGTGATAGTACTAAAGGTAGTGTAAGGGGGGATTCACTTGAGAGTGCAAAAACTAGTGCTAGTCGAGTAAGTGGTAGCAGTGGCCTCAGTGATGATAGCAACTGGAGTAACATCACTGGTAGTGCCAATAAGCCTCACAAAGGAAATGATTCTAGGTGGAAGGCTATCCTTGCCATCCGAGCACGGGATGGACTTTTGGGCATGAGTCATTTTAGGTTACTCAAACTGCTTGGTTGTGGTGATATTGGAAGTGTATATCTCTCAGAGCTGAGTGCAACTCGGTGTTGTTTTGCAATTAAAGTTATGGACAAGGCATCCCTGGCAAGCAGAAAGAAGCTGACCCGGGCACAGACAGAAAGGGAGATATTGCAGTTGCTGGATCATCCATTTCTGCCTACTTTGTATACACATTTTGAGACTGACAGATTCTCCTGTTTGGTAATGGAATACTGTCCAGGGGGTGATCTACACACTTTAAGGCAACGGCAACCTGGGAAACATTTCTCAGAGTATGCTGCGCGGTATGTTTTGTACTTGATAAACATACATTCATTTACCAAAAACTATTTGTTAAGTGCTTGAAATCACAAAGATCTGCTTTTTCTAGTCAGTGATCTTTATGTGTTCATGCATGGTTATGTTCATACATTCAATTGTCATTTATGCATTTACGTACTCCTTTTCATGCATGTTCCATAATTTATCACTTTTGAGATTTGTGATGAAAATTTTCCTGGCTTTAAAAGAAGATGAAAGAAAGTGGGAAGCATGGGTGTTTAATTGAGCTTCTTGAATGACTTCTCGCTTATTTAATATTTCTTCATCTATGACACCTGAAGTAAACACTAAAGTTTTACTAGTGTGAGCTATTTTTCTTAACCATTATGAATAGAGGAACATTATTTTCTACTTTCTGATTTCTTTCATGTCATGCATTATTGATACATGTCTGATTTGGCAATAGGCAGCTGTTTTGATATTCCGTTTCCTATTATTCCTTCACAAAACCAATGATTCGATTGTTAATATCTGTTGAATAGTAATAATTACCTCTGTGCAAGAATGGAAGAGAATAAAATTGTGCGTAACTTTCTTTTTTGGTTGTGTGTTGGCATGGAGGTTTGAAACCAATACATAACTTTGTACCAAAACAATTGCTTCTAACTACAATATATATGCTATGTTTGGGTGGGAGGTAAGGAAGAGAAAGAGAATGGAGGGTAAAAGTGACAAGACCGTTGTGTGGAATATTTTTAAGGAGAACATTTCGGTTCAATCCCCTCCTCTGAGTTTGGGTTGAAATTATTGGCCTTATAAGAGGGAATAAATCAATAATGGTTAGTTTGATCAGATACTAAAGCAACCATAGACCAGAAGTGAAACTGGTAAAAGTGACTGACATATTTTTGTAAAGGTTATGGGGAATATAACTATGGCTATGATAATGTCAGAAGGAAATTTATGCAACAGATACAGATTGATCTTAAATTTGTGCTCAAATTGGGCATGATGAAATACAACTGCATTATTTAATGATCAAAATTAATTGAACATTGAGACATCCATGAAATCATATGTCTACATGTTTAAAGAGGCTGTATGATATGGGAAATTTCTTCATGTGTAGAGTGTGTACATGGGTTAATTATGCGTTTTTACTTTTGAGAGAGCTTGGGACAGTCAGAGAAGGATTGATTTTTGGAGTGCTTGTTTCACTGTGGCAATCCCGCAATGAAACATGAATATCCTGATCCGTGATCTGCATTTTTATTAAATGCAAATGCATGTCTTAGTATCTTGCACACATGGATAGAATCCTTTGCATAACAATGAATTTTGGGGGAGTTGCTTCTTTTTGCAATCTGAAACAATAGGAAGATGTCAAAACAATCCAATTTATTATTTGAATTAATTGACCATGATATTTTTTTGTTTTTTTATTTCGTTTTCATGTTGACGGGTTTTTTTTTTTTTTTTTTAAATATAATTTTTCTTTCCTGGTGGACTAAATTACATGTCATTCTCTGTATGTAGCTTTTATGCTGCAGAGGTCCTGTTGGCCCTTGAATATCTTCACATGCTTGGAGTTGTGTATCGAGACCTTAAACCTGAAAATGTACTGGTCCGAGATGATGGTCACATAATGCTCTCAGACTTTGATCTTTCTCTTAGATGTGTTGTTTCCCCTACCCTTATCAGAACTTGTTATGATGGTGACCCCTCAAAACGGATTGGTGGTGGTGCATTCTGTGTCCAGCCTGCTTGTATTGAACCTTCATCAGTATGCATTCAACCTTCCTGTTTTATGCCTCGGATCTTTCTTCAGAAAAATAAGAAGTCGCGGAAGCCTAAATCTGAGCCTGGCATGCCAGCCAGCACACTTCCAGAGCTTGTTGCCGAGCCTACAACGGCTCGGTCTATGTCCTTTGTTGGCACACATGAATACCTTGCACCTGAAATTATCAAAGGAGAAGGTCATGGAAGTGCAGTTGATTGGTGGACATTTGGAATTTTCTTGCATGAGTTATTATATGGTAAGACACCTTTCAAAGGATCAGGAAACCGTGCTACACTGTTCAATGTGGTAGGTCAGCAGCTCAGGTTTCCTGAATCGCCAGCCACCAGTTATGCTAGTCGTGATCTGATCCGGGGCTTGCTTGTGAAGGAGCCACAGCTCCGTCTTGGGGTGAAGAGGGGTGCAACTGAGATCAAACAGCACCCTTTCTTTGAAGGTGTGAACTGGGCATTGATTAGGTGTAGCACACCACCAGAAGTTCCAAGACCAGTTGAAAATGAGCTACCAGCAAAGTTTGAAGCAGTTGATACTGTTGGGGTTGGTAGCAATAGTAAGAGGATGGTAGGTAATGACTTGAAATCTGGGGGTAAATATCTGGACTTTGAGTTCTTTTAGTTTGGATTCCTCAATCTTCTTTGTGTTGTATTTTCAGCATCAGTTAATTTTACTAGAGATTTGCTGCATTTTATCATGTTATTTCAGTTTAGTGACAGTAGCAGAATTCCATTTCAGATGGAAATGATACCTCTAGTTTAAGGTAGGAGGATGGATACTCTTTTCTGATACCACAATTCATATAGATAAACCATGATCTAATGTCTCAATACAGAATCTAGATACTTCTCATTAAGTTATTAATTCCTCTTTCCATTTTGGGCAAGTTTTTGATTTTGTCAGGTAAGGCTGATGTCATTTGTTGTGTTATTCCTTTGAGTCTCTACCATTGTCATTAACACATGATGCTCCAAGAAGAGAACATTTTATGAATGATTTAATTTTGATATGCTCTGTAAAAGTCTGTTGCAGTATCATCTTATTCTGCATTGTCACATCATAAATGAGGTTGACAATGACAACAATTACTTAAAAAATGTGATAACAAATGGTTTGATGATGTGTGAACAATCTTCATAAATATTTAGAGCAATCCGGATCATGTTTGTTCTATCATCATGTTCAATTCAAATACATTGTTAATAGACACTTATGGGACATGCAAGTTAATGCTTATGTCTATGTCATAGATTTATATCATTATTTACGAATTGTTCAATTCTCCCTTCAAGGTTAACTTCCGTTCAATTCGAAGAAATAGTGATTGTTAAGCCATTAGGATTGGTCTAGTGGTGAGGGGTTTGAATAATCTGGACGAGGTCATAAGTTCAAACCTCAGTATTATCATTGGGATGGCTTATCCAATACAATATTTATTGAGCTAGGGAAGAGTTATCACCGATGGACCAAGTGAAAAAATAACAATAAATGGGCCTAATACCATATTCTAAGCTGAAATCTTAAGAAGATGAATTATGTACTCATTTCAGTACTCACTTAGTTCATTTTCAATTAATGCGGGATTCTTTTATGCTTGAATTTTCAAAAATAGCAATTCTAAGAAGTCTCAAATTGGTGGTGAGTTATTTATAGCCACGAACCTGCCTAGTCAGTTTGTTTGTTTGGTAAATTCCACATTGTTATACGTTATTATAGTATATTATTCCTCAATTATGGTAAGGCTATTTTTACCCAGTGCATCAAAGTTCGTTATAAAACCAGATGAAAACTACAGACTCAAAAAGCTTGGCTTTGATTGAAATGAACACTCAGAAATATGACAATAGTGGACATTTGGTAGAGGGTAAACAAATTTTGTGCAAAGAATCTTGATTTTCAGGAATATATGGTGGGAAAGTGAATTTCTCAATAATGTTACTAAAAAATTGTTTGGTAGATCAAAATATTACAAGGAATATTGACTTAAGATTACTTATTCTATGTTTGGTTGATCGTCAAATATTACTAAGAATATGAGGAGGTGATTTTACAAAATTAACCTTTATAATTCAAAACTTTTGCAATTTAAAATTAAAACAAAATTTTTACACAATCATCCAACACTGATGGGATGCTACTAAACATCTTGAATTTCTCCCCTTCCAACATTTCATCTTTAAAGAGAAACAATGAAAATTCATAGGAGGAGGTAGTTGACGGGATGCTTCTAGTAATAATAGTAAAGGGCACATAACGCTGCAATTAGGGATGTATATGGGCCAGGCTGGCCTGGCCTAGCCTACAGCCCGACCTACGATGAAAAGTAGAGTAGGCTTGTCAAGCTTGGTCTAAAGCCTTGTAGGCTGGCCTATTTAATTTTTTAAAATAAAATAAAATATTTATTTTAGGATATACGATATACATTATAGAGCTGGGGTATTATGTTGACTCTTTCTTGTTTGTCATTTTTTATGAATTATGAGAAGTACTAGTGCATGCATGAATTGAACTTTGCTCAGTATATTTTTATAGTTATTTTTTTTACTATTGTAAAAATTTTAATGCTCACTAGTGAAATTTATAACTCGTGTAAAAAAATGCAGCAATTTATGAACACGTTAATGACTTGTAATGTCAAGCGAATATTTTAAAAATTGTTAAAAATATTTTTAAAAATATTTCACTGGGGAGGCCTACAAGGCCTGTAGGCCATATAAGGCTCTCTAATTTTTAAAAATAATAAATAAAGTCTTTGGTAGGCCAATAGGCCAGATAGGTTGAATATATTTTTACGTAGGCTTAGGCTAGGAAGGCCAAAGCCTAGCTCAGCCTGGCCCATTTACACCCCTAGCTGCAATTACACGCAAATCAACCCAAAAAAAAGGAAGAACTCTTAGAGAAAAATTGAACACGAAGTAAATGATAGAATCTGAAGCAATTAGGACAGAAGACGCACTTATAAAAGGAATGAATATAAGAACGATGTAGAGAGCCATGTTGGCGCCGGTGTTGACGAAGAAGTTGGCGACGGGGTGAACGGTGACGATGAAGGTGCCGACAACAATGGTTACGAGCAATTGGATGGAGATGATGGAGTACACTTTTCAGATGAAGGATCACTGCAGTTCAGGGCTCTCAAGCATCATTGGGTACAGAGACCTTGCCCCGCTCTCCACATCCGTTTTCATGTACGTATGATTCCACATCTTCAGAACTTTGATCTCAAAAGCTTTTCCTCCGGTAAAGATTCTTGCCTGAGAAAGTGAAGGAAACGAAAGGAAAATGTAAGAGGAAGAGACGAAGAGAGCAATAGAGAAGAAAACAGGGGAATTATTGTCTAAAAATTAATTCAATATTTTCCACCGTGTGGGATTTTCATAATACCACCTGTGAGGTGGTATTATTCGTTGGGAATTTTGTTCACAATTTAAAATCCTGGGAAAATAAGAATCTCAGAAAAATTTTCGCACTCCTTTGTATCAAATGTGGGCAAATAAGATTCTCAATGTCAGTTTCTTGGGAATATCAAATTTACCCACGTACCAAACGCCACCCAATTGTATTTTGTTGATGAAAAAAAGTCAAAGAAATTGTGCAAGAGTTAGTAGCTCAATTGGCCTTGGTTCAAGCCATCATGTCACTTTTATATTTTTACAAGCAAAGGGAATCAAATAGTGCATCTTTAAAATGAATGCATGTAACTTCAACTAATACGTCAAAGCAATTTTCTTGACATATATACACATACTATTAATTATATTTACTATTGAATTCAAAAATTGCTCTTAATCCCACTCAATTGAAATCGACTGACTCAGGACCCGTTTGGATGAGGTTTTTGTTATCCAAAAGTTACTTTTTTAAGGAAAAAAAGCACATCTCACTTAAAGTTCGTTTATATGTCTGTTTAAAAAAAATAGAAGTCACAAAAAAGACAAAAAGTTACTTTTTTTAGAAGCTAAAATTTTTAACTTTTAAAAAAGCAGAAGTCAAAAGCTAAATATTTTTTTTCTTTCAAAAACTAAATATTTTTATAAAAATATAAATAAATTTAACTGTTATAAAAAATACTTCTAAAATAAGAAAGAAAGAAAAACTATTTTTTCTAAAACCCAAACAAAAGAGCTCTCAATCAGTTTGATCTTTAATATTGGTAAAAATTGACTAACTCAACTAATGATTCTTGAGTATGGTGCAATTTATTAGTTGACTTCTCATGGCCTGTTATTATTGTCAAGGTTCAATGGGCTGGACCCGTACCGAATGTTGAGATGTTGTCATGTTTTGGCTAGCTAGATTTTGATCCACACATCACTAGTAAATTAAACTTTTTTATTTTTTTTTGGTAAACAGTAAATTAAACCTTTTAATTAGCATCGATACTGATATGCATGCGAGCAGTGTATTCTAATAATTAATCCAATACATTTTAAATATGGATATCTGCCTGTTTACTTTAAAAATAATTTTATTTTGAAAAATATTTTCTTTGACTAGAACAGAAATTGAATTTTAAGGAAAAACAAAAAAACAAAATACAACCAAGGAACAAAAAAATCTCCGGAAGTTCTGAAGTTCATTTCGATTTTTATAATTTTTCACATGTTTCTAAAAATAAATATGATTCGATTCTATCGAATTGATAAAATAATTTGGTTCTGAACGAAATTAATTTAAAAAATTGGTTTTTTCTTAAAATAATTTAAAATGTAGGTTGATTTTTTTTAAAAAAATAAAAAATATTATCATTTATAATATAATCGATTGATAAATTTTTTTATGGGATTAATATTTCTCATGTTATAAGAAATAATTTTATCTTCAAAACACCCATAAAAATGTGTGAGGTCGATATTTTCTTTTTTTCTCTCTTCTTGCATGACCCCGTATGGATTCCTCAAATTTTTATATGAGTATAATAGATAAAGACCAACAATAATAGTTACCTGATTCACTTAACATCTATCGTGTGAGAGAGTAGTAATATAAAAATTATTATTGGATATTCACTTACAAGATTATGTTGTTAGGTGAAATAGTTATTTTATATTGTATTGGAGCCAACATGACAAAGTGATCATAAATTTGATTCTCAATTATTCTATTAATAAAAAAATTAAATATCATAAAATTACTTAACACAAATAAATTGTGTTTAATGCATCATCCATTCTAGAAGGTCAACAACACGGGGCATGTTAGAGAAGGAATAGTGACCAAAATGTCACTGTTCACTAAGTTTTTTACCTAAATGCCACACGAACAGTGTTATTTTTCAATCTGCCACGGGGCAAGTTCGCTACCCAATGTAGCGAACTCCATATTTTTTTTTTAAACTTGATACTTGTTATCCACTAGAAACGTGACACGTCAGCAAACCGAGTTCGCTACACCAGATAGCGAACTTGCCCCCGTGACAAATTGAGAAATAACATTGTTCGCGTGACATTTAGATAAAAACTTGGTGAACAGTGATATTTTGATCGGTGTTTCTGTTAGAGAAAACCTTCCAACATAATTTACAAGAAGTAACAAATTATGTACTGACACTCGTACCTCGTTTCCGTCCTCATTGACTTACTGTTTCGAAGGGCCGATGTGGATAGTGACGCGTTCCACCAAATGAGTCTTTCTATCTCATTTACGATGGTGGGGATATCACCATTTTGTAGTTTTTTTTTTTAATTATTTATGCATTTATTGTTTCTTATATTATA